AAGGACAGAGTTGGATATATTCGCTACGGTGGAAGTTCTGCATCCCCAAATGTTTCTTTATTTGTCCTTGCTAGAATCTGTGACACGCTGAGTAGTTGTCATTTGGTTGTTACCGTCTCATCTCGTCATCTCTCCTCCGTCTAATGGAGCATTTATTTAACCATAGCCCATTATGGCAACTGCGTGTAAATAAAGACTATTATGTAAGGGACTAAGAAATACAGTTAAACAAGAATAACCTTGATGGAAGATGGGTAGCAGCCAACTTCTGACAGCATTTCACATTCTTTACTTGTTTTCCCACGCGTAGCCTCTTTGGATCCTCGCAGTGACCTTGAATTGCTTCCTGTGGTTGTTCCTCTGTTTCACAGTGGCGGCAACAGTCTCAAAGAACTTAGGGTGATTTTCCTAAGATCACAATTTTACCTGGCAACAGTATGTGTCAATCTATGCTTTCGGACTCCAAACTCTTTCTCCAGTCTTTGCCTTTGTGCCTTCAATCCTACATACAAATCATGGCATTACATACACCACCCAAACCACAAACACTTTGTTTTTCGAAAGTTGTTAACAATTACAGAGACCGCCAATGTCTGGTAACTTCAGTGAAAAGAGCCAGATCAATTCATGGCCAAGATGTATCCTCACCCAAATGCCCAGTGTAACTCCTGAGTTTGACCTTTGCGGCTCTGCAGCTTCCCAGTTTTTTGGCTCCATTTATATCATGTGACTATTTGTGGACAGGAAAGTCCTCAGCAGAGTAAATGCCCACCCACCAGCTAAAGGCCACAATTAACTGTATATATTTTATTTATATATATTTTATTTTATATATATTTGCTTTATTGCACACCTATCTGCCTGCACATCCTACTTCCCAGTCAGCAATTCATACAACTTTTCTGAAATTGCAGGCATCAGTCAACTTTACTCCTAAATAAGGTGACACGCATTTCAGATACCCAGCTCAATGTGAAATTCAAAGGTACACATAGTAAATACACAAATATTAAGTGTGCCATTTATTAGGTTTTGTCCAATGTAGACATTGTTTCACTCAAACTGTGGTGTGAAGTCTCAGCCTGATTTAGACTGCCCTCCCTTCTTAGACCATCATCTACCATTTTAAGATATTTAACCATTTCTTATATTTTTCATTTGCCACACTTTCAAGTGAAGGGAGACTTATTTTGCTTTTTCATGTAAGGATTTTCTGTTAAGATAATGTTTCTAAGATACGTTCATGTTGTTTTGAGCACAAGGAGTTAGCTATTTTTAACTGCCAGGTGTAATGATATCTTTCAGGAATATACTGATTTCTTTAACCATTTCCTCTTGGTAGGAAACTAGACTGTTTCCAGTTTTGGGTTCTTCCAAACAAATCCTACAAGCACTCTTGTAAGGATCTATCTGTGAATGTTTTCATCCATTCTTAGGCAAATACTTAAGAATGTAATTGCCATGTCAGGGGATAAATGTATATTTAATTTTATAAGAAATTTCCAGAGAGTTTTCTCCAAAGCACTTGAGTCATTTTAACTCCCACTGACAATATACCAGAGTTTCTGCTGCCTCACTGGTGCTCGCCAACGTTGGGGCTATCAGAATGGTTTTGATTCTTATTATTTCCGTCATTCCAGCAGACCTTTATCATATCAATTTTATTTATAAGGCAAGGATCATCAACGGTTGAGAGTTTCCATTTTCAAAAGCTGCCTTGAGTGGTGTCTGCTTTTAAGTCTTCCTGTAACTGGAACACTCAAGCTTTCTTCCGTGAACTTGGGAGAGAATGAAAGCAGGTTATAATTTAGTGTTATTTTAACTGCTTCTGGGCTTAACCTGAGCTCCAACAGTTGAATTTTTGGTATTTTGTTGGAACTGAATCTTAGGGACTTTTTTTTCTGTAGCATTGAGGCTTTCAGGTGATTAATCAAAATCATCTGTTTGATTCTTAAACACAGTAAAGGAAAAAAAATCACAACACACACACTAGTTCATAAGGTTTCTTTGGATGGATTAAGCAAGCATCATCAGGGTGCCTCTCCTGACCTACACATTGATAGGAAGTGAATCATTTGGAGTAAGCACAAGTGATATTTGGAAAGTTATCACCAAGGTAAATCGCTTGCAGCTCATGGAGAGGCCACAGGTCTCATTTTTAGTTTAATGTCAGGGTTTCCTTGGGTCTTGCAATGTATCCTGAAAATTTTCAAGGATGTGAGAGTGCTTTTGTTTGAGTTTCTATTTGTTTTGTTTAGGATATTTATATTTTTGACTTCCCGCCATTCTGCATAATTCATAACTTGTTATGAAAAATAACCTAAATACATTTTATGCTTCTCATGAGATGGATGCCTGTCACCCCTGCACCAGGGAGGCAGAAGCAGAAGGGTAAAGCTGTCAAAGTCAACTGTAGTTACAGAGAGTCTGAGGCCAGCCTGGGCTATGAAATATCCTGTTTAGTTGTTGCAGCCGTATTTAACTCACTGTTTGTAAGACTAGTCACATTCTAGCCGCTGGACAATGTGTCCTTTTGTGCGCTTTCAGGAAGAGAAGTGTGCTTAAGGGCTCTAAAATGGAAAGAATAAGGTTCTCGTTGCGGAGGCTAATGCACTCTGCTCTGGGCATTGCAAAACACAAACACAAGCCACGACTTAACTTTTCCTCTGCTCTTGAGGACGTTCCCTTCTTTCTCTAGGCTGCAGTTTGTAGTTATAAGAGGATAATATGTGAGAATTTGTATACCTTTTAAGCAGGAAATTCATAGAACAGCTTTAGTATTGATTGACCTGCCAGGCTTTCTCATCTCCTTCCCATAATATCTGTGAGGGGCACATTGATGCCAATTCCTAGAAAGCCTTCAGAAATTTGAGACACTGACAGGTGACCCCTTGGAAACAATTTTAACCAAATATCCCAGTCTCTGCTCTGACTTGCCTTTCCCCAGAACATAATGTCTCCCTAGATGCAAAGCAATAAAATATCCTGGTTCAAAAGATATGGAATGTAGTAGTGCTTTGGGCTCTAAGCCCCATAGGCATGTATTTTGCTCCTTTAAATGTAAGAAGACCCTACAGCTTGGAATGACACTGGGTTGACCAGTTGTCTCACTCATGAATGTGTAGAACATGCAGCAGATTTACTGTAAGGTTTGTTTCTTTTCCTGACTTTCTTCAGTCTGCATTTGAGGCTCCAGGGTCATCAATAGATGAAAACAGGGAGCTGTGATTGACACGAGCTGTGATCGAGACATTTAACCAGCCCAGAAAAGATCCATTTGCCATATTTTCCTTCTGTCTTGCATCTGGAATATGACACTGCCTTCAGATTTTTCTATGCAAAACTAAGTATTAACAGATAATTCATCAGGATCCCTCTTTCCTTCAATTTGAGGGAAGTGTTAATTGCAGTATTCCTTCAGAATCTAGCAGCACCATTAAGAAATAGGACACGGTCAAAGAACTTTCTAAGGACTAAAGGTGATATAAAATTGTGTGTGTGTGTGTGTGTGTGTGGTGTGTGTGTGTGTGTGTGTGTGTGTGTGTGTGTGTGTGTTTAGATGTGGTGGAGTCATGTGGGGTGGGGACACTCCTGGCAAAGGATGGCTGAAGTTTGCACGGAGATTTCTCCTGCTTCAGACACTGGTCTAAGGCTGGCTTAATATGAGGCAAATGAAATGGAGGGAAGGTAGTGCTTTAACTTCCAGATAAAGTCAAATTGCACAGCAGTTCTGGGATGCGCTTTGTTCTATTTGACCCCAAAAGGCCAGGATAACTGTGCAGGCGTCACAGTATGGAGGCTGAGGATTTTGCGTTTTTTTCTGAGTTATGTAAGTCGTATGGTTAGATAAACTCTTGTTCGGTGACAACATACGTATTGAAAAGGAAAAATAACTTTCACTGTCAAGTTCTTGGCACGTAGGGTTTTTTTTTAATTGTTGTTTGTTTTTAAACTATGATTCCAGAGCTTTAAAAAAAGTGAACATTTTTTTAAATTGATTAAATGCCCTCCTGAAATTTGCCACAAGTCCACTTTACAAAGAAATGGAATCTAAGTTTCACAGTATTTAACCAGATTTCATTCCGCTTTAAATGTGTGAGGGCAGAAATAAAGATAACTCATTAGGATATTTAACAGAATTTACCTTTAGACTGTCTTTAACCTCAAATAGAGCTGCGAGCTTATTCCTTCAGTTTACATTATTCAATGCATGCGATTCTGGTTGCATATAAAGTAGTATTATCTTGTCAACAAATGAATCCTCTCCTTTGAAGACCAAAGGGATCACTCTGTGATTTATCATATTTACATATGAATTCTGAAAAGCAAACCTCCAGGACTTTAGGTGATAATTTCAGACATAAATTCAGCACCCACACAGCTTTCGATTGCCCGGCATAGCTATTGTAACTTTATTACGCTTTTCTTTTATCATAAAATATTTATTTCATCATTAAAAACATTTGGGTTTTCATAAATTAGGCATAGCCAACAATAAAAGACTGTATCTTAGATTAAGACAAAAACTTTGATAAAAATTATTTGAAAATTGGCTTTCTAATCACATTAGGCTGGGGCCCTGATATTAGAGATGTCTCCTAAACATTAATTGAATAGACCACGTTAGTCTGGTCTAGAAACAGGGGTTTTCGATCTCTTTGTAGCTAGGAGATTATTATGCATTAAGTGTATTTTGGAAATTTCTTCCTACGGCTAAATTGAAAATGTCTGATATTCTCAATTACTTCAAGCGTTTATGATTCTAAGCTCCCAGCAGAAACCGCTGCCAAGGCGGGGAGGGTGAGAGCAGTTACTCAGAGAAGGACACTTATGTAAGAGCCGTCAGGGTGGTTACTAGCTTGAAAGCAGGAAGCCCGGTATTTCAGACTTCAGGCTTTAAGGGATCGTTACTGAGCCTTTTCCCCTCTCAGAACTGAGACAAATGGCTGATGACTGAATCCTGAGACTGCCCACAGCTTTGCTCTCTCATTCCGCTGCAGCCCGGAAGATGGTGAGATCCATCCCGAAATCTGCCGGCTTTACATCCAGCTGCAGTGTTGCCTAGAGATGTACACAACGGAGATGCTGAAATCCATTTGTCTGCTGGGGTCTCTTCAGTTTCATCGAAAAGGTACACACATGCCATAGGATGCCAGAAACACAGAGAAACAGACAACAAAGCTGGCCTTTCACCTAGTGTCCATGTGCAGGCCCAGGCACCCAAGCAGAAGGATTGAAATGGTCAAAAACTGCAGGACACATGAATTAATAAGAAGCCCACGTCACTGCCATCTAAATGCATCAGGATTGAAACCATGGTAGGAAGTGTCCTTAAAGGTATTGTTTCACCTCCCGCAAGTGTGACTTCATTAAACTCCACAAAGGCTGCAAAGATACACAACAGTCTTAGTAGAGTAGTAAATGATCTCGGAGAGCCTTGTTTCTCTAAAGGAAATGGTGCAAACAGGTAAATTGCATACTATGTTCCACTGACTTCAAAACAGAAGGGAACTCAACTAGGCATGAGCAAGGGTGAACTCACTCCCTGCCCTAACCCGTGCATGAATTGTAGTGACGTCAGCAATGGAGGTAGCTGGTGGCTGTGGCTTCAGCATGGCTTGATGATACCTAAGATCCCCGTTCTAAGTGAGGCTCTGTCTCTGAGGTGTCTTTGGAGGCTTTCCTCTCAAGCCGCCTTCTCCCACAGTAGGAAAATGACTATCAAGGCCCTGTCCACCATCTGTGTACATCACTTGACTCATAGAGAAGGGGAAACATCTCCCAATTACAAAACAAAAGATCCAGGCTTCATTCTAATTAAAACAACTTCTTTCCTGAGTCACGGAGGGCTAGAATTCCACTGATTGACTTAAGCAATTAAGGTCTGTCCACGAAGCAAGGAGTGGGCTCAGCTCCATTCATTCAGCGCTATACATAACACGATAGGAGGGGGTAGAATGGAAGGCTGCTCAGCTTTCGTTCCTAAAGTATTTTACTTATATTTTCTCTTTAGTTCATCAAAGTACTCCTTGGAAACCTCCTAAGTGTGAACTTTCTGTGCTTTAGGCCAGGAAAATGGGATCTGAGAACACATAGAGTGTACTCTGTGCCTGTGGTTTAAATTCAAACATAAGGAAGTTCACTAAGCCTCGGGGGGTGGGGGCTTCAGACAACAAAACAGTTAAAGATTTGAAATCAAATAAGTATTGCAATTTGGTGACAACAAAATGATGTGATAATTTAGTAGTAAACATTAATTTTCACGTATGCATATATGTGTATGTATGCACACAGTTGAACAAAAAGCAGGAGTTTTGCTGCCCTGTTCCAAAGAGAGGATAACACCGTGAGGAACTGCATCAAAGGACTGCAGTATTAGGAAGGCTGTGAACCACCGCCCTCATCCTTTTCACATGGTGTCCCCCCCCTGCTGCCTAAACACTCAACTATGTGAGCCAATTGGAACCATTCTTTGCTGCCTCTACCCTTGCAGGCATTAGGATTAGAGGGTCACACATCTACCTCTGTTTTACGTGGAGCTGGGGCTTGAACTCAGGGCTTTATGTATGCTAAATGCTCACTCTAACAACTCAGCTAAGTGCTCAGCCCCACAACTAACTTTTGAAAAGAAACTAACTCTTCTGTTAGTTCTTTAAATTCAAAGGGATTCCTTATGCTGGTTGTTCCCTTGCATGTGCTCTCAGGAACAAATAAAAAGCACATCCCCTCACACTGGAGCAGTTCTTTGCTCTTCGTGGCCTCCTGTCTTCATTGACAGGCTCTTTAACCTCCCTTTCTGAGTTTCTCTTAATTGACAGGCTCTTTAACCTCCCTTTCTGAGTTTCTCTTTTAAAAAAAAAAAAATAGTCAAGGCTGGGGTTGTAGCTCAGTGGTAGAGCTCTTGCCTTAGGTTCTAGTCAGAGAACTAAAAATTAATTAAGTAAGTAAGTAAGTAAAAAAATAGTTTTGAACTCATGGCAATCCTCTTGCCTTGGTCTCCACAGTGCTGAGATTACAAGCATCAGCCACTTATTCAAGACAGCAGAGAAACTTCTAACACCTGCCATCAAGCCTGCTTTTAAGAAAGGAAAGGAATATTCTCTGAAAGTTTACACATAGTATGTAGAAAGTCCAAAGGGGTCTACAAAAACAGTCCTAGAAATAATGACTGTGTTTAGCAGGATCAAAGGGTACTGAGTGAGCCTCCAAAAGCAAGAGTATCTCTACATAGTAGCAGTGAACTGACAGGCACCCAAATTAAAGGTGCACTATCATCAATTACCACTAAATTTATTTATTTATCCATTTATATGTGTCTAAAATCTCACCAGGATCTGTGGTTGAAATTATAAGATGGAAGAAATAAAAGAACACCTAAATTGGTCCCTAGGTCCAATGAAATTTCTATCAATTTAGCAAAAGCAAGGTTAACTCTGAATATAAATAAGCTTATTTTAAAATTTACACATAGGGACTGGTAGCAAGATTTCTCAGTAGGTGGTGGTACTTGCTGCCAAACCTGCCCTCCTGAGTTAGCTTTCCATAACCCATAGAGTGAAAATAGAGAATCAACTCACAACGGCTGTGACTGTATGCACAAGACCTGTACAGTATCAAACCAGCCAAAATGGCTGCATGAATGAAGGGCTCATGAATCCCTGCTCTAGCTGAAGAGTTATTGCGACTGCTGAGAGAGAGAGGGTCAGTTTCATTGAGGGATGTGACCTCTGAGAGGCTACCCATGCTCCAGGTAATGGCGCTACAGTCATGTACATTCTAGCAACACCAAGTGGACTTAGTGACTTTAAAAAGAGAGCACATGAGACTGGGAGGGAAAGGTGGTAGAGGGCTGGAGGAAGGATTGGGAAGAGAATACATATAATTCATATAATAAATTCTCAAACAATAAAACTACAAAATAAATAGTGGCAAAAGTGTTTGGGAGGCAGAAGCAGGAGGGTTGCATCAAGTTCAAGACCATCCTAGTGTACATAGCAAGTCCTTGAAGAGAGAGAGAGAGAGAGAGAGAGAGAGAGAGAGAGAGAGAGAACCACTAAGTATATGAAAATATGATATTTTTAGCCATCAAGAAAATGCAAGCTAAAACTGCAATGAAATTCTATCATTCCATCAGAATAACCAGACATAGTATCATCTTAGGTCCCATCAGAAGATGAATGGATAATGAAAATGCGGCATGCATAGACAATAGGGTATTTAACAGTCATAAAGAATGAAATTATGTTGTTTGAAAAAAAAAGATTGAGCTAGAAATCATCATATTACTTTAAATAAATTAGACCCAGAAAGTAAATAATAAATTAATAAACCTACATCTTCTACTCTAATGCCTAACTGCCTGTGCATAAATCCTAAAAAGAGGACACCTGATAGTGTCTTTGATTTTTTTCATGTAATATTAAATTTCCTATTGGATTTCTGATTGCTCTAAAGTCATTATTATTTAGAGTTGAACCCACCTTAAAACCCAGAGTGGTAGGTGCCTTCCATCAGAACGAGCCGCACGATAATGACCCCAGTAGCCTGTCCGCTCTGTGAACACTTTACATTTGAAGCGGGTAATGGTTCTTCCTGTTCAATCACGGGACATCAGCATCAGCACCCATGCCATGATTAAGATGCCAAGTGTCCATTCCCGCCCTGCACTTACTAAGTCAAAGTTTCCTCTAAAGAAGCAACTCCTGGGAAAATATTAAGAGAATAATTACTAAAATATTGCTTCAGCTGAGTACACCCGCCGGCCACCTGTAATCACTCTTTTTAGAAATACGTCCCTACTTCCTCGCATGATGCAGACATAGAGTCACACTCTCCTCAGAAGTCTCTTGTGTTCCCGTATCTGAGAGCTAGCATTGTCTTGGTACTAGTAGAGTTACAGTAATCCTAAAAGGTGATTTCTTTTTGATGAGAAAGTCCCAGTTACTCTAGAAGTGAAGAAAATAGAAATATGTGTGATTAAATCCTATGTTGAAGAAAAGTCACTAGTGGTGGGCACCAAGGAAAATGTCATTAAACCAGAGAACAATAATACAACACTAGAAACATATGCATGAAAGTAAGTATTTGAGAAGTTTCCTAAAAATTTCTAGAATGGAAAATAAAACAGTACCAGTATTTAATAAAGGATGGAAGGGTTCTATTAAAAAAAATATTATGAATTTTCACATTCTATGTTTGTATAATACATCCTTTTTATTTCCTTCTTTCTATTAATCCCCATGTTGAACCCAAGGAGTCAACTCTCTATTGCTATTTTTGACGCTTGTTTTGTTTATATTATGTTTGAAGTCACATTCCTGCTATCAGAATAACACAGAAAATGTCAGCTGGTATCACTAGGTTTTGCTTTTTCTTGCATATCATTGGTAGCTATAGACTAGCTTGTCTATACTCAGAAAACCTCCATCCAGTGCAATATATATTTATATGTATAAAGTCTTCTGTGGTCTCCCTTGGTGGCATGGGTTTGAGAAGAGAAATATTTGACTGCAGTGACCAGAAGTGAGTTGAGGAAAAAATTGGTTCACAGACTGCAACATGTGAGTGGTAAGCTCGAAGAGAAGAATTGTGGGTAATAAGACATATGATGTGTTCCTGAAACTTGGAGTGGATGCTGTAAAAGTAGATTGACAGAGGTCAACACGTGTGAGAATCATAACTGCAGAGCCAGACAACAGGAGACAGATAGGAAACATGGAAGAGATGTGAGCTAATCTGCCCTACCAGGCGTGCAAGGAGAAGTGCAGATAGACCTGAAGGAGCCATGCAGTAGAAACCAGAGTCGAGATGCTAACAAAGTCGAGGTGGGAGAAGTCACAGGAAAAGATCGAGAGCCGTTCTTTCCCACGACTGATACATATACATTGCAATTTACGTATGATTTATTCCATGTGTCACATATCAGCAAAGAGGCACCATTTGTGCCTCAAATTCTGCTAGTTAAGATGGCAGGTGACATTTCCAGGACATTATGTTGTTTATGCAAACAATGGTACCTCCATTGTACCTTCAGGCTAGGGAATGACCTAGGCAGAGAACACCCACTAAGAATCTCTTTTTTTAAAAAATTCTAAAGAATAACTTGTGGGTTTTTATTTTATGTGCATTGGT